TCTTTTGAAGCTTATCAAAAATATCAAACTCATTATTAAGTGCCAAAAAATAGGTTCAAACAAGACATTACAACAAGATGGAATAGTCAATATTTTATGTGTAAAATCAAATATGTATGAATATATATATATTATATATACATATATAATATATATATATATATATATATATATATATATATATAATATAGACATATAGTATATATATATATATATATATATATATATATATATATATATATATATATATATATATATATATATATATATATATATATATTTTAGATATACATATATATATATATATATTTATATATATATTATATTATATTATATATATATATATATATATATATATATATATATATATATATATATATATATATATATATATATATATATATATATATATATATATATATATATATAGGCCTCGGCAGGAGGCAAGAGCTAAAGCTCTCGCTTCCCGCCGAGGAACTGTTTACGGGAGCAAGTTACGACTCTCGCAAAAGTATAATTTTTCTTACGTAAGTATAATTATTGTAACTAAAATAAAATACACAATTCATTTTGAAAAAATTAATTGCATAATATATTCCAATGCTTTTTAAAAAGCATGATTGCTGCAAAAAAAAAAAAAAAAAAAAAAAAAAAAAAAAAAAAAAAAAATCAAAATTAAAAAAGAGCGCCGATTTAAATGAGGAGCAGCTCGCACTGCTACCCGAGTTCGTTTTAGGAGAGCTTTTCTCTGCTCTCGTGCTCATTTATTCCCATTGAGGCCTCTATATACATATATATATATATATATATATATATATATATATATATATATATATATATATATATATATATATTTGTATAGTTTATCACTTACGGGGACAGATTTTACAATAAACAAACACTTACGGGAACATTAGCATAATCAGGAATATTTTAGTGTACTCATTAACTTTTTGTCCCCATAAGCATTTTTTTTTTTTGTAAAAAAATGTACGTATAAGAAACTTTTATAGAGAACGAAAAGTAAATACATCGACTATTAAATAGCCTGACTTGTAAGGGAATGCTGCTACATCGACTGAGGGTTTGGTTAGGCAAAGCATCAAGGTCAGGCTTAGGGTTAGGGTTATGGCAAGGTTTAAATTTAGTTATATTATTGTAATTTATCGTTTTTGTAAATAGATGAAGTTAAAAATGAAATATAATATAAAATAAATAAAAATAACAAAAATTAAAATAAAAAATATATTTTTATGATAAAAAAATAAATTTAAATATGTATAAATAAAAAAAGAAATAAAATAAAAGTTAAAAAAATATCTAAATATGATAAAAATAGTATAAAAAAGTAAAAAAAAAAACAGAACAGGAACAAAAAAAAACATGTCCTTGAAAGTCGCGACTAGGATGCTATATATATATATATCAGGCTTGGTCGGGAAGCGGGTGCGATCGCACTCAATAATTGACCACGAAAATAATATTTAGTTGCAAAAAACCAGCCAGATTTTTAGTCATTTTGAGAACATTTCAAAAACAAACAAAAAAGCCCAATAAGATTATCTGGACCGACGAGAGACAGTTAAAAAAAGAAAAATAGCTTTTAATGCGAAAAAACTTTAAGCAAAATAAATACGATTAGAGCAAATATTTTTGAAATTTTGCTCTTTTATAATTATTTTATAAAATTAAGTGACATTTTTTATATAAAGTAACAACTTACTATTAATGATTGTTTAATAAGGAAACAAATGTTCTCTGATTTATCAAAGAGTATATATAATTTTTATTTATATACTTATGTCTTATTTCCAGTGCTGGATTGAGGAGGGGGGGGGGGGAGTAGAAGGGCTATAGTCTCGGGACTCACAATGTTAGGGGCCGCGAAATAGTCAAGAGGACCATTCGGTATTTTTTTCAGTCATTTTTAGGCTGTAGCACATAAAAGGCCGCCAAAATAATGCAGTCCCTGGCCATGAAAAGTCCAACAAGATTCAACTAATAAAACTAAGGCTAGATATTTATTTATAAATAAAAAAGTTTTTTCAATAACTGTTTTATGCTTCACGTAGTTTGAAAAGTTTAACACATTTGAAACAATTTTTCTTAGTAGATGAGCAAATGAAATAATTAAATCATTGAGTTACTGTAGAAATTCAATTAGCTAAATTAACTCAAAACGTTAAATTAGTATGTGAGGAGGAAGCGGAACTGCTTCACAATAATGCTGATGATGTTTATTGAGTGGGCTTTATAATTTTAATTAGTATTTAAAACAGAAAAAAGTAACTTTAAGTTCAAGTATAACAAGTTTGTAAGAATGGCTGAAGCAAAAATAATTGAAGTTAGTAAACCAATTTTTAAGAACTTAAAAACTTTTCTTTCTTGGGGGAAAGAATCAGAAAGAAAAACTTTTCTTTCTTGGGGGAAAGAATCATTTATCTTTTTTAACGTTGACAAGTTAAAAAAGATAAATTTAAAACATTTATTTTTGTAAACAAATAATATAAGTTTAAAACATTTACAGCTTTGTAGATGTGGCTCCAAGAACTAAAATAATATTTCCTTTGATAGTATATTCTTAAAACAATTTATGCTAGAAATCTCAACAAAAACATAACAAAACTCAAATAATACAGTTTTTAAAAATATTTCAACAGAATACTCTATAAATTTTGGTTAGTATTTTTTGAACCAATAGAATTAGTTGTTCGTAGATTTGGCGGGTTTTTTGTTTTTTTTATTTTTCCGCACAAAGATGTTTGAGAACATTCGAGTTTATATGTTTCCATGTATCCATAAACAAAATATTTCAAAATTAAAATTAGTGTATATTGTTGTTTAAAAGCTAACCACATAAAATCAATTACCTTGAATGAATATTCTTCAATAACTGTCTATAACATAAACATTTAAATCAACAACTTTTTATTAAAACATGCATCTACAAACAATAATATTAAAATGTATTATTTTAGCTAATCATACATCTGGATCATCAGGGTCTTCATATATCTAAAACAAAGAAAATAAAAAAGTTTATATAATCTATATAATATAAATGTGTGTGTGTGTATATATATATATATATATATATATATATATATATATATATATATATATATATATATTATATATATATATATGGGCAATTCCGCAAGAGTGATGGTCGTAACATTTGACAGTATTTAAGATATTAATTATGAACCAAAAATGGAAATGACTTTAAACTTTCCAGTAATGTGATATACTCCCGACAAGAAAGGTATATATGGCCCATATGTGGTCATAGTGCTTTCGTGTGGATTAAAAGTGCACAAATAAATTACAATTGATGAATGACGTATTTGATGAAGATAAGTGTGGCCCACTTGTGGAACACATAATGCGGTTCACATAACTATTCCACTTAATGTGGCATAATTTTTAAATAAATACGTGCTAAATTTGATATGGCTTTCATATGGGCCATACATATAAAACTCACAATCTTGCCTCATTTTGAATTTGAAATTTTAACCAATTGTAATAATTCTATCGCAATGCATTGTAAACTCTAGAATATTCCATGATATCATGTGGCTTACCGTTTTGATAATTTTCAATTTATAACTGTTGTAAGTATGTTTGAGCGATAAAAATAAATATATATAAAAGAAAAAGTGCAAATATATAAAATAAAAAACAAAAACCTAGGTGTGTTAAGACTTCTACTTATTGTAATATACAATTTGTTATCATTAATAAACTGTTTAATAAATGTTTTTTTTAATGTGATTTTATATGTGATTTAGATTATATAACAGATTATTGATAAAAGAGTAATATTTAAATGCCTCACATTTTGCAAGTTTTACTTAAATATTATTGAAAAACTTTTAAATTAAAACTCCGGTTGCATCCATTGAAAATCAATATTAAAATATTTAACTTTTATTTATATAATATAAAATTTTATTTTTATATAATCTTTATTCATATATAAATTTTATTTTTTAGTAATCACTTATTTATATTTATGTATGTATTTATACATCTTTGTGTACTTTTAAATTGTTTACTTTCTTTTTCTGAATGTAGATTAACTGGCTAGCAACAGCAGGAGGAAAATATATATCTGATATAGTACAAAACATTTTTAATGTTTTCATGCTTGATGAGTTACAAATGAATTGTTGTCGTTCTGGGAAACGCTCAAACAAATATTTAATTGAGGCTTTTGTAAAGTTTATTGCAAATAAATATATATGATTTGAATGTTGACATCTTGTATGAGAGTATATATGTTAAAAATATAAAAATATCAAATAATATGAGTTCTCTCAATACTATTATTAATTTAAATTAACAATAGTATTGAGAAAACTCCTATTAATTAATGTTTTTATATTTAATATATATATATATATATATATATATATATATATATATATATATATATATATATATATATATATATATATATATATATATATATCAATTTTCCTGTAAAAATGTAATGCGACTTTTGTTCTTTTTTAGAGTGTTTTTGAGCGATATAAGTATTATAACCACATGTGGGCCACTCCAACGCCATCCCATAATGTGGAGTGGTAAAGATATGGCTAATATATGCTTCCTACACGTGGGCCACATGAACCTTTGCGCACAAAGCTTGGTTTTTGTTCTTATTTAGTGTGGTTTTAGTAGAATAAACATTATAGCCACATATGGGACGCATCAACGCCATCCCATAAAGGGGAGTGGTAAATATATGGCTAACATGTGTTTCCCACACGTGAACCACATGAAACTTTCACGCACAAATGAAGAATGGTGTTTGTTCTTATTTAGTGTGGTTTTAGTGGGATAAACATTATAGCCACATATGGGACACATCAACGCCATCTCATAAAGGAGAGTGGTAAGCATATGATTAGCATGCAAATGCTATATATGGCCCACATTAAAACTTCTTGTCGCGCTATCATATAATTTAGTATGCAAAAGTTATAGCATTAAAGTCTTCAAAAATTGAATTTATGTGGCCTGACAATGGTAACATTTACTTTTTACCACTTCTGAACAAAACAACCTTGTCAGACTTAACGGCATGTTAAGAAAAAAAAGATTTGGTGTGTGTATTTAGCACATATTAACATTACTATATGCTGAGTTTCATAGTCTTTATTTGAAGTTATATAAGTGCTTTTACATTTTTTTTTGGTTACAGTTGTAATAAAAAATCTAATATTATAAAACAACAAATAAAATAACACAATTAATTGACTAAAAAAAATAAGATAAGTGATTATAAAAACCATATAAATTATGTAAAAAAAAAATGGCAACCAAAGGCTATCTGCTATATTTATTTTTACTCTACTACTTTACTAAATTTTTAATGGTTAATGCCCTTAATGCTCTCTGTTCCCAACATTGAAACTATAATAAAACTTATACCAGTATCTTTACTTTACTAAATTTGCAGTTTTATAAAGTCTGATACGAAGTCTAGAAAAAACTTTTTTTGTGACAGTAATATTGCATCAATTTGATAAATATATATATATTTTCAAACCTAGTTGGAATAAAATTCTGTAAATAAAAATTCTTCATAATGTTTCATTATACCTTTAAGTCAATCTTAGAAGTAATAATTATTTAAAAACACAGCATTGGAACCTTTTTCAATGCATCACAACAACTATATATAACCATCAAAAAATGTTTAAATAACCCTTAAAACTTTTAAAGCATCTAAAAAATAATGATATAGTATGATAAAATGATTTATTTAATAACTTTTTTGCATAAAAGTATTCTGAAATAGTTAAAAAAATAAATTATTAAGGTTAGTATGTGTCTTCCTAAGTTTTTTTTTAAACTCTTTCTCATGGAATTGCTCATATATATATATATATATATATATATATATATATATATATATATATATATATATATATATATATATATATATATATATATATAAATGTTAATTAAAAAATGATATAATTTTTTTTTTATATTTATATAAAATATTATAAAAAAGTTGAAGCTAAAGACTATGTAACAATTTAAATTAAATAGTAGCTAACAATCACAACTGGTATAAACTTACTCCAACTAAAACAGCTCTTAGCTAAAAAAAAATAAAAAATAAAAATATAATCAAAATAATATAATATAATCAAAATAATATAATAGAAACAATGTAAACAATATAATTAAAATACACTCTGTCAAAAAAGTTTTGATCCACCTATTCTGTACATTTTTTAGACGTGATAACACACAATCTTTTTTTTTGTTTTTAACATCTATGCTTCCAACAAAGCTGTAAGCAACCACTATTAGAGCTGGAAGTTACTGGAAGAGAAAAAATGAAGTTTATAGAGCAAGATAACGATTGACAGACAACTTAAAAGATTGCAAATTATATGACTACGATAATGAATTTTAGAAAATGGCACAAGAGACACTAGCTCTTTAGAACAGTACCCATTATAGTATTTGTAGAAAAGAAAGAGAAGCAAAATTACGACGATGTGATAAAGGTAGAAGGTTGGATGTAAGAGCAGGTCTAACTATGTTTACAATGCATTCTTGCACCTTACACCTTGTCTAAAAGAAAAAGGGCATCATTGGAAGATCGATCCCAGATATGGCAACAGTATTCCATAAAAGGCCGGATTTGAGATTTACAAACATAAAAAATAGAATTTGAAGCAAGAAGGTGTTGAGCACAATAAAGATATGCTAATTTAGCTGATGCTAATTTTGCAATGGATTTAATTTATGGTTTCGAAGAAAGATCGGAAGTAAGAGTTAATCCTAGAAGGTGAAGGGCAGATGACTTGTCGAGTACATCACTGTTCATAAATATAGAAAGATCTAAATTATTGCAATAACGATTGCTTGAAAAAATTGCGTTTTATCTGAATTAAAGTTCACCAGCCTTTGTGAGTCCCACTATGTAGCATAAGTAAGACCCTTTTCAAACTTGAATGCTCTCTTTAAGCAATACGAAAGTGTTGGCTTCTTATCAAGACAAGAATAAATGGTAGTATCATCAGCAAACAATGCCACTTTAGATGAGAATATCTGGATGAGCCTTAATGTAAATTAAAAAGAGTATAGGGTCAAGGATTGAACCTTGAAGAATTTCTGAAGTTACAGGATATGAAGAAGACTGCTGTTCATCGAGGACAAATTTTATACTACGATTGGTAGGCAAGGATTCAATAATCTTAAAGATGTTACCTGATACACCATAGGAAGAAAACTTATGGAGAAGACCAGCATTCTAAACTTTATCAAAAGCTTCAGAAATGTCAAGAGCGATAGCCTTAACCTTTCCACCTCTATCTAATGAACAATAAAACCTATCAGTTACTATTGTTTGCAATTGAGCTGTAGAATGAGAAAGATCAAAATCCATATTGATGATCAGAAAGTAAGTTATTAGATTCAAAATGAGAGATTATGTTTTTGTTAATTAAAGATTCAAAAACCTTGCTTATTATAGAAAAAAGACTAATGGGAAAGTAGTTAGATGAGTCAGATTGCTCTTCAGAATTTTTTAAATTAGGGATAACAGATGCTGCTTTCTAGCAGGCTGGAAAACAAGACTATGATAAGCACTTGTTAAATAGTTTTAAAAGTATAGATGACAGCTCCAGAGAACACTTATGCAAGACTACAACAGGTATTTTGTCTGAACCACCAGCTGTAGAAGAGTCTAAGCAGGAAATCACTCATGGTCAAGAGGGAATAAAAGATTGCACGCCAGCTTGAATCCAAAAAGTTATGTAAAAGCACATTTGCCAGCATAACTAAAAACAAAAGATTTCTATCCAAGGGCTGTAACTAAGAAAATCATGGAAAGGGTCCCAGTCAGCTTTAAGGTAGTTGTAAAAAATACAATGATAGAGGGATTACAATGATGAAGAAGAATAAGAATAGTTTTAGAGAGATCAAACCATGATCAGAAGCACCTATGTGAATGTGGAGAAACTGAGCACTGACAAGGATCAGAAACAAGACATAAGTCCAGTAGAGAAGGTAAATGATTTGGGTTGCCAGGAAAATGAGTTGGAAAATTGACTATTTGAGTTAGAGATTGAAAAAGACAAAAGTTGTGGTCCTGGGTTAACTTAACTGAATGGATCGAGTATATCACAGTAAATGAACTTATAACCTAAATCAAAACAATCAGTCAAGTTAAGATAGTAACTTACAGTTACTCAAGTATTAATTTAATAATTATATTAAGTTATTTAATATACTCGCAAAAGTTAGCCATCGACATGTTTTAATTTAGATCTTACATGTTGTTAACACATAATATAAGCTTTTAACTCAGGCTTTCACAGGAAGACGTGCGATTTCACGTCTTTATATGACCACGCAAGTTACATTTTGCTATGACGGTTTGACCGCGGCTTATTCAAAAAACATTTTAGAAACGCGCTAAATAAAAAATATTCTAAAAAAGTGAAATTAATTACATCAAAACCTCTTAACAAATGTTTTTATATTAGCGAAACGATTTTAAATAAAGTAACAATTTACTGAAAAAAAGTTTTGTTTTTAAAATATAATTGACAGTTGTATATATTTTTTTAATTTAAAACATATAAACTGTTAAAGTGTTCATTTCTAAAATAAATCTTATTAAAAAATAAAAAATTGTTATGATTTTATAAACGATGACATTCTTCGACTACGAAAGTCTCTTTAACGAATTTAAATATAAGAATGATTAAAGTTAATGCATTTAAAAAGATAAACAAAATTTCATTAAAAAAAAAGTTTTAGAAAACCGTAACAATTTTATAAGTTTGATCTTAAATGCTTATCTTAAATTATTATCGAAACGCTTTTAATGAAGTAAAAAAAAAAACACTTATAATTAATTTAAAAAAAAGTATTTATAAAATATTTTTTTATTTTATTTATATAACTATGTATTTTTTATAAGAAATATTTAACTTTTGAACATATTAAACAAATAAAAAAAATATAAAAATGTTGAATCAAAGATTGAAAAGGTTTTTTAATGCGTAAATAAAATAGACTAAGCCCTTTAGTTTGATCAGTTTTGTTTGAGATGCGTTATGTATATATATATTTATTTTTTTGTGTTTTTGCTTCAACTAAGTATTTTTTTAATTTTCTCTTTCGTTAAGATTTATTTATTTTTTAAAATTTTTTTTTCAGATAAGTTTAGTTTTTGTAGCGCGTTTTTAAATTTTAAAAATATGCCGTGGTCAAATCGTTAAAACATTTGTTTTTTGCGTGGTCATATAAAGACATGAAATCGCACGTCTTCCTGTGAAAGCCTGTAACTAATAATTATTTTAACAAAAATTGTCGAAAAGAATATGAAAAACGCGAAACAACTTTTTTATATTTTCATCTATAGTGACATTGAAATTTGAAATTGAAAAGAAAATTTATTAATTGAAAAAAAATTTGATGAAACAAGGGAGAATAAAAAGAAAGTTTTTTTTTTCGTAAATCGTAAATTTTGTTAACGTTTTGAATTATATATTTTTTCTTGAAAATAGTTTTAAAAGTAGAAACATTCTATTGCAAACATCAAAGCAGTGATTGTAAATTGCAAGTTAAAATAAAAATTGTAAAAAATTTAAATGAAATTTAATAAATTATTTTACTTCTGTTCAAAATTTTTTTTTCTAAAAAAATAATTTAAGCATATTCTTATACTTAATATAATTCGATTTATTAAACAAAATTTTTTGTTTCATTTTTTTTTTGGAAAACAAAGAACAAAAAAAAAATTTGAATGATAACATCAGCTTTTGAATGAAAAACTTAATTATACTTGAATTTTTAATAGTATGCTTGATCAGGAAACGATAATTTATAAAAGACGTGGTATCTAATGTTTTTTTGCTTCGTTTGGTCTATAGATTATAAACTCATATAGGTCTATAGGGCCAAATATGAAGTTTTGTTTTAGTTAATTAACTAAATCAATTTTATTTATTTGCTTCACTTTATTTTAAATCAACACGAAACAGTGTCACAAATCTGTTTTACATTAACCCAGGCTCTTTATATTTTTAAAACAACTTTGAAGTTTGTTTTAAGCTTTTATAGTTTTTAACAATTAAAATTAACACGTGTTTTAACGGGTTGTGAAATTTTTTTTTTTTTGCAATTAGATTTTTGTATATATATATATATATATATATATATATATATGTATATATATATATATATATATATATATATATATATATATATATATATATATATATATATATATATAGTATATATATATATATATATATATATATATATATATATATATATATATATATATATATATATTATAAATTCCTTTTGACCTAAATATATCTATTATACAATCTAACATGTCTATTTAAAAAAAAATTTTGTTGTTAAAACTGTTACAGATACTGTTACAGTTTATAATATGGATCAACTTAATCTGAAAAAATGAAACTTGAAAAAAATCTAAATATATTTTCTATTACAATTAAAGTTAAAAAACTGTACTTACATATTTCTTCTCTAATGCATCGAAACAACCTCTTATCCTATTCATAAAGTTCATTTAATATAAATAAAATATTAAAATACTGTTTTATATACCACAACCAGTGTTAAATATTTGATTTATGGCTTACCATTGTATGACACGACATGCTTCAGGACAAGCACTATCATCACGTAATATTTTCAGGTTTACATCTTTAACAAATAAATCAGTTAATGCATTTTTAAAATAATTTCTAAAACTTAAAATAATATTTAAACCTAAACAAGATTTCATTGCTACCTTCTAAACATCTGTCACCAAATGCATTCTCTGGAAATAGAGCTCTAAAAACAATGAAAATTTAATGACAAATAAGCATACATTAAAGTCAGCAATAAACCAACCTTATGAATGGCAAAACTATGTATTATATTATTTAAACACAATTAAAAACAATTGTTTGATAACAATTTGTTACTGTTATTTACATAAAGAGCTGAATCTTGTTAACTTTAACCCTTTATGGTAGTAGATATATTGACTGAAATGTTATTCAATATATATATATTGACTCAAATGTTGTTCAATATATAAATACATTTAGGACTATATAATTTTATGTTAAATATAATTCATGTTGATGATGAGAAATGAATGAAAAATTAATTTTGAGAATACAAATTTATTAGACTTTTCAACAATTTTTATAGCCTGATTACATTGAAAGTCTTTATTCTTATCAGTGACTGCTATATATGTTTTTTTAAAACTTTTTTGAATTAGTTTTTATATATTGTTTTTTTGTTGATAACAAGTAAAAATTAATAAATGAGGGGAAGAGGGAGGGATCTCTAAAGTTAGCAAGATTCTACAGTATAAATTTATTTTACTATATTTATTTCAGTTGCAGCTCATTTTTATTTTCTTGTGTTTACAACTCTCTCACTTAATCTTTTAATTGTTACAAAACACCTCAACAAACAAGGTCATTGTGCAAGGAAACAATTTCAGATTTTTTTAGAATAATTTTGAAAATAAAGTGACTTGTTTTTCTACTTAATAAAATATTTTTCAAAATTTTTATTACTTAATGATGTACCAAGCCAGATCAAATTAAACTATACAATGATTTTGGTAAGTAAAAAATATTAGAAACTAAGTTTCACCTCAAATAACTGATACTTGACACCTATGAAAGTAAAACAAAATTGGTAAAAAAAATCTTTTGTTTTAAACCTGTATCAAATTTATAATTAGAAAAAAACTTACAGCAACAGCCAACAATTTCTTGACAAAAAGAGTAGATTGTGTCTCTAAAAATATTTTTTAAATATTTTATATGCTTGAAATGAAAATATAAACTTTAAAGTTAAAAACAAACTATTATACAATATTATTAACTCTCTATAGAAAAATTAAAAAAAAATGTTTAGAGAGATTTACAACTACATCAAAAATAAACTTAATTTTTAAGATTAAAAAATAAAGTTGAAAATTTAAACAATCAGTGGTGTCTGGTGGCATAGAGCAATTGCTTCAGGCACCTGAAATGCAAAGACATTTCACAATTGATCAATTATCATTTTGCTATAAAAAAACCTCTTTTTTTTTTACTGATAAGTGTAGTTTAAGGGAATTTTGACAAAAAAATGTATTTCTAGATCTTCTATAATTTATGCTTTTAATTATTTAAGTCTAAATATAGCTGTGATTGCTATTATTGATTGGTGCTTATTAGTTGGTGTTTATCTGAGAGTTGCGATTAATGATATATTAAGAATAACTATCCATTCATTAAGAATCAAGAAAACACTTGAATTCTTTAACTTTTTTATATCATCAATATATTGGCATAGAGTCGTGGATAATAAAACTTAAATAAGTTTTATTATCTATGGGTCTATGACAATACATGGATGGCCTAGAGCTGTAGATCATAAAACTTATTATATATAAGTTTTAAATCAACCTTGTTAGCTGCGCCTCAAAATATGTATCCAAGGCAATCGTGAATGATAAACTGATAGATATTTTAATGAGCTACCAACAAGGTTGAGGGTTTAGCTCACTTAAAGAGAACAAACTTTTGTATATTAACATTTTATTTGAAAGTTGTTTTATATTTTTTAACTATTATTGTTGTGTAATTACAACTATATTTATTTATTATTTATATTTTTTATATTTATAGTTTGATATAAAGTTGTATAAATTGGGAATGGGTGGGGCAGCAATCTTTTGTTTCAATATTCTTTGTTTTTTAGACTATTTTATAATTTATTTTAAAAGTCACTAATTTTACCTTGATTTTATTGGAAAATATTTTTATAATTTAAAACACAGTAACTTGAAATATACTGATACAAAGTCATTACATAACTTTGCTTTCAGAAAAATAAGTTCTTATATATACTCCGACTGAAATTTTATAAACGATTGATGGCTACTTATTTGAAAGAGTAAATCAAATGGCTAATCATACAATAATAAACAAAACAAGAAACTTAAAAAAACTAAAAAAAAATTGTTTTCTACTCTGAGTCTAAACATTACTGAATAATAAGAATTAAATCCTTTTCCTTATTTGAATTAAGAAAAAATACCTGTCACTTGTTTATTTGAATTAAAAGAAAATACCTGTCACTTGTTCATTTGGAAATATTGATGACCACTAAACAACATAAAAACAAACAAAAAAATATTATAAACTTCATATTTAGGCTTACCTACAAACAAAAACTATTTAAATTAAACCAAACTAGTATAACCTATCATTTTTTACACAATGATAAGTAGGCATAACATTGTGTATCAGGCATAGACATGGGTGTGCCATAGCACAGGGTCTCAATAAACCAAAAAAAAAAAGTTATTGACAACGTGATTGTAGCAGACAATAGATCTTATCAAAATAAAAAATTGTGATTGAATTTTCTATCATAATAATCATAAAAGTACTTATGAGATTTTTTTTTCTGAAATAACCTAACAAAGTTATTTTTAAAATAACTTTGAAATAACCTAACAAAGTTATTTTAAAAATAACTTTTAAATAACCTAACAAAGTTATTTTAAAAATAACTTTGTTAAAATTCAATCACAATTTTAAGTGGAAAAAACTAACTAATAAAGCCAGCTGAGAACATGCAAAACTTTTTCAGCATTTTTAGAACAAATCACTGTTATATGATGTATTTTAGTTAAATGACAATTTAAAAAAATTTTACAAAAGTAATATTTTTGTAAAGATAAAAACAAACAAAACAAACTGCATATTTAAGATCTGATAAATTTTTAATAGGACAAAAATGTATAGTTGCATCATGAGGAATAGTATGTTAGAACCTAGGGTCACTTTCTTATTGTTTCATTTTCTAGCATTATTTTGTTTATTGGAAACAATATAAAGAAACATGTTTTTCAATGTGAATAATTTTATTACTGCATTGGGTAAAAAACGAATCAATACCTTCAATAAAAATCAACAAAACCTCCCTAAAAAAATGTAAAAAAAAATTAAAAAGATATATATAATTTTAGTAGTAAAAATCTCTAACAAACAGAAAAAAAAAGTACTTCCTCTTTACACATAAAAACTGTTTATCAGAGTATATATGTTCAAAATTTATATAAATCAAATAACACCCAGATTTTTTATTGGTAAATTTATGTTTAATTATTCTAGTAACATCAGTAACAAAAAAAAAAACAAAAAACGTACACAAAGCAGATGACAGAAATGAAAGGCAGATAAAAAAACTTAGATTTAAAAATTATTGAATTCAAATAATAAAACAAAGGTTTATTCTTGTGCTTTCAAACTAATACAACTCCTCCCCAATATAAAAAAATTTAAGTGTTTAACAACCCTGACTATTAGACCCCATCCTCTACAATTAGGAAAAGGAGCGCATACAGAATTACACTAAGCAAAGCAAAAGTAATGGGGTCTAATCTAGGTACCTAAGTGATTAGCTGAATATTGACTGACTGATTTATTTTTTACAGTCAAATTTAAAAAATATATTAAAAATTTATAAAATATCCTCTTGATTCTTTGAATTATTGGAAACTATACAAATAAAAAAAGTGAAATCTGGATAAGAAACTAGCTTTTAAAGGAGCAACAAAAAAATTACCTGTCCTTGTTTCTGATTTCGAACTTGCTGTGTAGTAGCCATTTTTTGAGCTAGATAAAAAATTATGAAAAACAACACATAAATCATTTATGTAAAAATATTTAAACTGAATAAATTTTGTACTTAGTTATTCCCTACGGTCATTTAAAATACATTTAGAACGTAACTTTTGAAAACAAATACCCGCTGGGTTGTTAAAAAACCTGAACAAGATAGGCGTTATTAATAAGCCTAATAACAATTTTTTAAATCAACAACAACAGCAATAATAACAACAACAAAAACAATAACAACAACAACAACAACAAAAACAACAACAACAACAACAACAACAACAACAACAACAACAACAACAAAATAATAGCAACAAAAACAACAACAGCAACAACAACAACAACAATAATAATAATAATAATAATAATAATAATAATAATAATAATAACAATAATAATAGTAATAAGTAAAATAGTAATAGCAATAATAACAATAACAAAATAATAACAAAAACAATTGCAAAAGTCATAGTTTTAGTATTATTAATAACAAATTTATGTTAATGTATACATTATTTAACTTAATTCATCAGTTAAAAAACAAGTTTCAAAGCAAAGCAATGTCAAATAAAAATCGTGCAAATTGTTATTTTATTAATGTGTTTTGTATTTAAAAATTTATTTTTTAAGTTTCCCGGTTTTTTTTGCAAAGAAGATTTATTGTAAAACTTGAAATTTGTAACTTATTTTATTATGCATATTTAAAAAATATTTATTTTATAAATATCTAAATAAATTAAATAAAAAGTATTTAGTAGTTTTAAAAATTAATTAAAGATTTTAAAACTTCTTAAAGCCATAACAACAAAATTTCAATAATAAAAAGTCAACTTTAGTTTTGTTTAAATTAGCGAATAAACAATTTTTGTTTTTATTTTCAAATACAAAAATCAAATACCTAATAACGCGCTAAATTATTTTTTGGAAATGAGTACTTTGGAGTTAGTCATTAAAGACCTTGGTAAGTATGATTTCAGAATCTGTATATATTTAGGTAATAATTCAAATTATAAAAAATAGAATTGTTTAATGTAGATAAAAAATTTTTTTCTAATTCTAATTTTTCAAAATTCAGATCGCGCAAAATAAGAATATAGTATTAGGTATGTTACATTAAATTTTTAAGCTAATTAAAATCTAGAATATTATATAACATCAGAAAGGTCTTTAATACGGTATTGTAAAGGTGAAGAAATTATCAAAATAGAACAAATTTATAAAAAGCTATAAGGATTTAAGTAACATTTTTTATATGGATTTTTTAAAGAAACTGTGTAGTGATCAAAACTTTTTCTTGACTTGAATTGTTATAACTTTGTCAATAAATTTAAATAAACTACGCCTATAAATTGATATTAAAAGATTGATGTAAGATTGGGCTACGAATGTACATTGTCTTCTAACTGCCGACTGTATCAAGGGGGCTGAAGGGGGCGCCAAACCACCATGTTTACCATATAAACATTTTTTTCTATAATTATTTTCTTTATACTACATTTATAATTTATATATACAAAAAGTTGTTTTTATTTTATTCTAGATCACCAGTAAATATAAGAGGTCTATCTTAGAGTTAAGGGTGGGTGTAAGGATTTAACATACCCTTGTATCAAAAATATTTAATTTTTTAAAATTCTGTTTTGTTATTTAAAACAAGTGAAGCTAAAATGAATATTAAAAATTATAACATATATTAGACAGAGGTGAATACACTGACTTACATCTACCCATCCCACCCACTCACCTCCACCAAAAAATAAAATCTAAAATAAAAGTTAGTAATAGTCTATAAGCTATTAAAATAAATTTAAATATGGCTCTACTACCCTGATATAACCAAAAGTATTAGAGCCCAATTGGTAAGCTGCACTGCTAATTATACTGTTTAAAGAAGGATATTTCTATACCTCAATTTATAAAAAATGTTTTAATAATGTAAATAGTTGTTTTGTAATCTGAAATGTTATAAAATCTGAGATGTTATAAAAATATTTATTTATACAGTGTAATATCAGCATTTTAACCATTTTTGATCATAACCAAGTCTGATCTTATTTTGGTAGATATATGACAAAACGTTACATTATCTGACCTTGCTTGCGTTAGTAAACAACCGGAGTTGATCATTGATGGACGCAAGGTAGTAAGTGACCGGGTCCCCAGTCACTTACTACCTTGCGAACATAATGATTAGCTATCAATATAGTGCAGTTGTGGTTTCACAGTCTTTTTTTAAAGTGTCTCTAAAACAGTAATAGTAAAACATCTATTAAACTATCAATTTAAAACATCTTCCATTACATTAAGACAAACAGAAATCATGTTTATAAGTTGCTTACTAACAAAGCCTAAATTTATTAACAATTTATTATTTACAAGTTTTACAAGAAACAGTTGATTGATTGTCTCTATTAAAAAAAAAAGAAGGCACACAGCTAGAGTTGACTACCTTGTATGGTTGAGCGGTCCAAGTTTATAGGCAGCCCATTTTTATTAGGAACTTTACCAAAGTCTTTTCCTCTGCAATATTTAAATAAAAGTCTTTGATTGCAACTAAAATCTATTAGTATTTCTTCTGAAATGTATCCATCTATTATTGGATTTTTAATATGTTCAAACAAAATTTGATTTCTATTCTGAATATTTTCAGAATAGAAATCTTGGTTTCTATTGTGAATCATTTGCCAAGCAGACCACTGAAGCTTCTTGGCCCAGTTGTGTCAACATCAAGTTTTATAAAAATAGCTTGTAACGGAAGTTCGTGTTGATGTAATGCGATTCCAGTTAGATGTAGTTTTCATTTTAAAACTTCTTATTTTACCACTAAGCCACTTATTGATCCAGTATTGATAGTATAGTAGTGATAGTAGTATTATAAAGAAGAACAGCTTGTATACTTTTACACACTGTTATGTTCTTGTAAAACACTGAATGTTTTGGTAGCAAGAACTAAGCCTGTACACCAGTAACAGGAATTGTCCTATGAGTCAAATAATTTCCACTTTATTTTCCATCTTCATAAGTAATGTGAGGTGATGCTCAGGTTCAATTCGTTTTTATAGTACTTCTCTTTGAGGTGAGGTTTTACTTGTTTAAGTTATCTGACCGTGCTTTCCATCAACCCCAAAATAAATTAACAGTTTGTTTTTGTTCTGCCAAAACGGTTCAAAGACAGTTTGCAGTCTAAGATAAATTTTAATTAAAACTCTATGCTCTTTTACTTCAATAAGATTTACATCAAGTTTAATCAAATTTACATCAATTTTATTAAATTTACATCAAATTTTAAGCAATTTTTAGTTTTTAGTTCAACAACATTTTTGATGCAAAATTGGGAAATAGCTCTCCCACATTATTTAATAAGTAACCTGGACTGGGGAAAAGTCATGGTTGTTGAAAAAGCCAGATTTGATTCGAACCAACGTTCTAGTAGTTTCTATTTTTTTTAAGAAAAGTCAATGCATTAACTTATAATACTTTATATAAATTGTTATACATCTTCAAATATTGATTTAATGTTTTAGACTTTAATGGTTGTCATATTATATAACTTGATTTTAGTACCATGACTCTGTTGGCACTAAGCTCGAGGCTTTTGTCTATCTCAATCATTTATCTTAAAGTCAACTTTGTGACTCATACATCAGCCTCACTTTATTATTATACTTTCTTATAACTTTAAAACTGATTTTTTTTTTTTTTTTTTTTTTTTTTTTTTTTTTTTTTGTAATAGTCCTTAAATACTGTCTTTATCATTGACTGATAACAAGGTCCATTATTTTCAGATTATTATCTCAAAAGTAGGTATGATCTTATTACCTCTCCCAAGGATAATGTAGAGCTATTTGCAAAAAACTTTTTCTCTAATTCTTCTCTTGAATCTCATGATTACATTTGTTCTAAAGTTATTTCTCACCTAAATTCTTATTCAGCTTTGTGGTTTTGAATACACTCCTGTTACAGTTTTGGAAAAGTGTTCTTTCTTTTTAATACTCTCCAAACTATTTAATGTGTGCTCAACTGAATATTCTTCTCCTGATTCTGAAAAACGGAATCTGTATTTTCAATTTTTATTAACTTTTTAGACTGAGATTAGACTCAGCTGTTGTAAAATTAGTCATTTTTAATATTATTATCTTGCTTTTGATACTTTGATCAACAAATCTCTAATACCTGACCTTGAATCTAACTACTTACTCTCTTGCAATCAATATGGGTTTTGATTTGCTTGCTTTATTTCTAATTTGTTAGCTGTAACGAAGAAAAGGTTCGTGTATAAGATGGAGTCAGCGAGGAAAAGGTTATTGCTCTTGACAAAGATCTTGATCAAAGGCTTTTTCCTAATGTCTGGCATGCTGGCTTTTGTTTAAACTTTCTTTATATTGTGTATTTTAAAATTATTTACATTATTAAATACTTAAGGTGATTTTTTTTTTTTGTTGCAAATATTGAGGTTAGCATTTTTTACTAACTTCTTGCTAATGAAATTTTTATTGGAACTAGGTTTTGGGGTTTTAGCATTGTTAAACAAAACAAAGTTGCTTATAAAAGTGATGATTTTTTATTCAATGTTGTTATTTTAAAAAGATAAAGCTCAAATACATCTGACAAACTCAATTAAGATCCTCAAAGATGTCATTTTGTTATTCTCTTTATACAGCTAAAATACAAACTTTTTATTTTTATATACAAGCTTTTATTTTTATCTACAAGTTTTTTATTTTTATATGTATTTTATATGTAATAAATAAAATTTACAAACTCTGATTTAAAAAAATGTTAAACTTTATTTTTATTAGAATTTGAGAATGAGAAAATAATAATCCAGACACAAGAAGAGATTGCAATTCTTGAAGGTATATTTTGATGCATTTTGTATTTGATATCAGTTAGTAGTTTAAAAATTTGCATAAGTTTTCTATTTACTTTTCTTTATTTACATTATTTTTATTTAGATATGCAAAATAACTTACGCAATAAATCAGCTGAAAATGAAAAACTTGAAGAGGAGATTGATAAATACAACAGTGATATTAAAGTTCTGCACTCGCAATTTAAGCAAAATCAAGAAATTACAGAAAGGTAAATAATAAAAGATACCAGTTTAAAATATTATAAAGCAAGTTTAGGTTTATGTCCAGTTGCCCTTTAAGTAGCTAAAATATTGATGGTGCCAGACTACTAATAAATGTCCTCTACAATTAATAGTAGTCCAATACCATTTAAATTTTTTGTCTTATTTTAGATTTTGAAGTAAAATAAATTTTTTTGAAGGTTTTGCTAAAATAATCAAAGCAAAAATTTTTTGTAGATGATAAAATTAGTTTTCTAAATTCTTTCTTTTTATAATATATAAGAGCTAACAGGCTTGACGGGATTATTTACAGGATATTTAGTGTAAACAGGATATTTAGTGTAACAGTTTCTTTATGGACTTTTTCCTTTATAAAATTGATGTTTAAAATGTTTAAATGAAATTTGTTTTTGTTATAAGAAATAGGTGTGCTATTTAAGTTGGGACATATAAATTTTTTTATTTATATAAAATAAAAATATATATATTTTTTTATTTTATACAAATAAAAATATATATATATTTCAGTTAGAAATCTTTGTTTTTGGTGAAATGATGGACAAATATGATATATGTTGTAACCCATTTTAAATGTTTTTGTGTGCATGTGTGTATGGTTTAAATGCTAAATAAGTCAAAGATTTTAATATTAAATTTAAAATATAAAGTAAAATTAAAATATTAACAAAAAATTAAATGTTATATTAACATTTACATGTGTAATAACATAAAAAAGTAACTCTACTAAATAAAAATAAACAATCCGATCAGAATTTGATGTTCCATCTGATTGGTTCTAAGTGCCTTTTCCTTTGGTTGGGCAACATATTTCTGTTGTTTTCTACAACTTGTATAATGTTCTGGAACTTATTTTCTTTCTTAGCGGTTCCTGCAAAGTCACTACAAAGCTTTACTCCTTATTCAGCAGAATTGTTTACAACACATAAACTAAAAACCACATTATTTGAAGCTAGAAAATTTTCTTTTTTTTTCCCATTCTGTAAACCGGTTCCCTGAGAAAACTACTATTTATATTTAATATGGTGAAAAAAACTGGGGAGTCTTCACCAATAAAATCAGTCAAATCATTCACAGTCACTTTAGGAATCATTGGAAATATAGATTTACCAAACCCAGACCCTTTTCTTTGTAAAGTTATTTCATTCAATGTCACACAATTTGTTAGTGATAGTATTTTAATCTTTTGCCTCTGCTTGTCCTCTAAGTTATCATTAAATAGAGACAGTTGAGCTAACTCCTCAGTGATATACCACATGTGATCGCCGAAAGCTTTCAGAGCAGCATTAGCAAAAAATTGTTTCTTTAGGAAGCTGGCTGATTTTTTTGTTCAACAGTACAAGTTTCATAGAATATAACAACTTTGCCATCCACCTTGCATTGTGCAAAGCGCCTGGTCTAATAAACCCAGAGAATTGCACATTTTGCCCATTGCTTAGATACAACAATGTTAGTTGAACAAGTTCTCTATAATCACCTCTGTTTAAATTTTGCCTCATCGTTTCTTGGCAAAGATTGGTAATGGCATCTTTTTTGTTTATCAAAGACTATAAAATTTGAGGGATGTCAAGGTCTTCAATAGTTTCACAACTCAGATGTTCAAAGTTTTTCTTAAATCTAAAAATCAAACAAAGCAGTCATTAAATAATAAATAATAATAAAACATTTGACTAAATATGTACCTTAAAAATAGATTGATATTAGAACCATTTGAAACTTCTCCAAACTGTTCCATACATGAGTTAGTATAATCTCTCCTATTTAATGTTGGCAAGCAAGCCACAGAAATGGCTTGCTCAATATATTTTGCATTGAAACACAGCCTGCAGTTATAGCCCCAGTCTTTGATGCTGTTGTGTAAAATACCATGCCTGCCACACAATCTGTGCAGTTCCAATCTTCTAGTAATTCATATTCTGCTTTGGTAATCACTGATCCTATCTTCTTAATGGACTTAAATGGCAACACTGGTACACCCATTAATTTTACACCTGAACAACCTAAAAATATATTTTTTTGAAATAGAACCAATTTTAACTGACTTAGTATAACAAGTATATTGACTTGCTAATATGTAAATTGTTCATAAGTTCCTAATATTTTATGAATTGGTTCGCCCAGGTTTTATTTTACATTTTTGTTGTTTAGTGAATCCATTAACTTGCTATCCCAATGAACTACACTAACGTTTGGAGATTTCCAGTAGCTCTTTATCTTGGTAGCAATTGTCTGTGCACACTCCATTTTGTTCCTAAAGGGTTTAAATTAAAAAATGCAAAAGTAAATTTATTGATGATTGAATTATACTTTTTGGATTCAAAGTAAAATTGACCAAAAATTAAAAATATCTAAAGTAAAAATTTTCTATTACAATAGAAAGTAATATTTTAAACAAAACAACGAATTTCTTTTTTAATATATATATATATATATATATATATATATATATATATATATATTATATATATATATATATATATATATATATATATACATATATACATATATATATATACATATATATATATGTATATATATGTATATATATATACCTCTATATATACCTCTCTCTTCTCTCTCTCTCTCTCTCTCTCTATATATATATATATATATATATATATATATATATATATATATATATATATATATATATATATATATATATATATATATATACATATATATATATACCTCTATATATACATATATATATAATTATTATATATATATATATATATATATATATATATATATATATATATATATATATATATATATATATATATGCTGTTGTGTAGCCATATATATATATATATATATATATATATATATATATATATATATATATATATATATGTATATATATACATATATATATATACATATATATATATACATATATATGTATATACATAGGGGAAGTGGGGGCATAACCGCATAAGGTTATGCCCCGTTTTTTAACATTTCCCTTGGAAAAATATTTTCTAATATGGCAAAAAACATACCACGCGTTAGTAAAACAGTTTCCTTCATTTTGCATATGTCAAAAAGTGTGCTTGTTACGTTTCTGAGAAATTGTGCATAATAATGTTTATTTGATAAAAATTTTATATTTACATCATATTTTTCCAGACCTTTTTTTTGAGAATTAAGCAATATTTGATTTTAGTGTTTAAGACATGTGTTATCAGCAAAATACTCAACTAAAATAATTTAAGTATATTTAATAATTTGAATCGTATCTGTTTATAATAAACGTTCGTAAAAATTTTTTTATTAAAAATTAAGTTCCTTAACTTATAAACGAACTCAAAAGTATTTTCATTCTATGTATAATTACAAAATTCTTTTTTTTTTTCTTCGTTTGTAAGCAATTTAACTTATACTAACTAATAAAATAAAAAAAGAATAAATATGAGGTAATCTTTGTTAAGAACAAATTTAATTTATTTATTGAACTTTTTTATATATTTTTATTTATATATCAACTTAATTAAAATATAGTAACATTTTAAAATATTTTAACATGACTTGTGTTAAAACCGTAGGGCAGCTGTTAATTAAAGATTCAAAATCCTATATGGGAACTAAAGGATAAAAATATTGATGATTTTATACTGAATTGGTCCATCCTTAAAACAGCGCCTGCATACAACAATATTTCCAAAAAACGCATACTATGTCTACAAGAAAAATTTCAAATAATTACACATAGAAACCAAGAATGTTTGTTAGACAAAAAATCGGAATTGATTTCTAAATGCAGGCACGAAAATAAGTTTCTCCTAAAAAACTATAAATATATATATATATATATATATATATATATATATATATATATATATATATATATATATATATATATATATATATATATATATATATATATATATATATATATATATATATATGTATATGTATATATATATATATATATATATATATATTATGTTAGTCATTTAATTGTTTAAGTAACTTAACACTATCACCTGTTGTTTGTTTTGTTTTAAAATGTTATTGAACTTTTAAAATCGAGTATTACACATAAAAAATTTAATGTTTAAATATACTTTTAATATTTAGTCTTAAAACTGCTTCTACACTATTAAACAGATATCTTGGAGATCTGAGGAATAATTTGAAACTGAAGTGTCAAGAAACAGATAATGAAAGGTTATAAGAGATATTTGTCTGTGTGTAAATTTTATTGATTTTTATTGTTGTTTTATTTTTTGTTTTATTTGCAGTTAAAACAAGATTTTTTTTAGTTCAGCATATCACAGTTTGTTTGTTTTTTTTATTGTTTTTTTTTTTTTGTTATAGTTGCCGTAAAAGGAAACGATTTTAAGCTATAAAATTAAATTTCAAAAATTAATTGATTAATTTTTATTTTTTTGTTTAGTGATCTTTATTTCAATCAGAACTTATGTAACAAATTTATAAATTAAAAAAAACCTATAGATAGTTACATAACAAAAATACTCTTTGATATGATGTAAATTGCAACCTCTTATTTTCTTCTAAAAGGCGATTCACATGGTGTTTCGTCAATAAAGACTAATCAAAAAAAAAAATTTTTTAAAGAAAATTATCAAATTTCTGATGAGTTTTTATTGACAAACACCATATAAAACAAAAAATTATTTGTTAGCATTGGTCTCACCTGTATCCCTACACTCTACATGTACTTTAAACCACTTTAATCATCCCTGGCTCATTGGTTTCTTTACTCTATCTTTTATTCCAATTATATTTCCAAAATTTATACCAACACATTTTATTACCATAATCTATGTTGATCTCACCTTTTATTACTTTTTTCTTATTGAACCAAAACTCTGTTGTCTAATAAAATTTAAAATGACAATTTTAATTTTAGTTTTTTAAGAAAACATGGAGTCTGGAGGTTTATTATAATATTTAATTTAGCATATCCCATTATATTATATTTACATTATTATTATATTATTAAAATAATTTTTCAAATTTCAAGATGGTAAAAATAGTGATTTCAAAAATGTCTTTAAAAATAGTAATTTGTGCCATTTTTACATATTTTAGATAATATACACAGGAGAGGAATGTGCTTTTTATGTCATCACTTGATTTCCAACAGAAATGGAAGCTTTTATTCTTTTTTACAGATTCAAAATTCTTTCTAGAATTATTCTTGTAAGAACAAAGATCTTTTTATTATTGCAAGAAAAATGTATAAAAAAGTATTGTCATCAGACAATTTATTCATTATTCTCAGTTTACTAATTCTCATATTTCATGTCAGCTAAGCTCCTGATACATTTAGATAATTTTAACTTGAATATTATCTAATTTAATCAAATAAAATCTAATATTCAGCTGCTCCTGAGAGGATCTTGCATTGCAAAATTGTTTTATTTTTTGCATTATAAACTTACTGATTGCAAAAATTTTCACTAATGTTATGCAATGAATTTTCACTAATGTCAAAAATTATTAATTTTTAAATCGTGCTTCAGTACACATTAAAAAAGTAGGGAAGTTTTTTTAAAAAAACTTTTCAATTAACTGATTAGGTTTATTTAATATATCAAAGAAAATCTGATGAGTTATAGCTCTTAATTATTTTATAAACAGTTTATAAATGATGTTATGATTAAAGCTAATTTAAAAGGTAATGAAACATATTCATTTTTTTTTTTTTTTTCAAATCATTTTTTTTAGAGATAAACTTGAAAAAATTTCTGAAAATTATAGAAGTAAATGGTTGCGTTATGAGGAAGAATATGAAAAGTGTGCATTAGCAAAAGAAATTCGTGACTTTAAATTAAAAGTGGCCAAGTTAGATGCAGAAGGTTGTTAAAGTTTAGTTTAGAAAAAAGTTTGAAAGTTTTAGATATTGTTTGTCATAATATTTTTTTGTTTTGAGTTTTTTTTTCATATTGATGGATTAAAATACAAAAGACACTTGTCCATATCTGACATTTTCAAGAAAACAGGTTTTCAAAGTTTGAAAAACATTCAGTAACAATTTTAAATGTCTTTTGTGCTAAATCGTCAGTATTTCTTGGAGTTTTTGCATTTTGCAGTTTTAATTTTTATAATTTTATTGAAAGTTTATTGAGTTAAAACTAATATAAAACTTTTTTGCCATTATGAATTCAGTTTTTTGTCCAGTTTTTTTACATATATATATATATATATATATATATATATATATATATATATATATATATATATATATATATATATATATATATATATATATATATTTATATTTGTATAGTATAATAAAACTTTAGGTGCCTCTAGGTCAGTTAACGTTAGAAATGAGCTAGAAAAAATATATATATATATATATTTTTTTTTTCTAGCTCATTTCTAACGTTAACTCACCTAGAGGCACCTAAAGTTTTATTATGCTATACAAATATCTAATAGCTTTACATATCTATAAATATCTAATAGCTTTGCATCACCGAAATTTGCTGATTTTTTCCTGATTGATCTGGTGATTTCTATGATTTTTTCCCTGTTAAATTTTTCCCCATTTTCCCTGCTGATTTTTTCCCCATTTATCCTTGAAAAGAGTCCAAGATACTGGTGAAATAAATAAGGCCAAAGTATTGTTCATTGCTTTCATTGATGTTCTTGATATTCCAGACATAGCAGGCTTTCTTTCACTAGGCATGTTTTTCAATGCAGTCGAAGCTCTTTTAACCACCTCCTTGTCAATTTTTTCTAAAAAATTGTGATATCTTTAATCAGATTCAAGTCATTATTTAGTTCATTGGCCATATTTGTTAGTCTTAAACTTTAGGTGGAGTAAGAGCTCTTCTACTTATCTTCTCAACCTTAATCCTCCTGCTTGTCAGCTGTTCCTGATATTAAGTTTTGAATTCTAAGAGTCTTTCTTTGTAGACAATCTGTAGTGTTGCCTAAAGGAATAACAGCAAGTTTGTTTGATTTTCCTTCAGTATTTATTAAATGTGCAACAGTCTTAAAAGGTTTCAAATCTTCCATGTCTCTTGAACTGGCCTGAATATTCTGGACCTTCTTTAGATGATATCGAAACTTTTAGAATCTTAAACAATGCAATGGAACACTCTAGAATATTTTTGAAACTGAATTTAAGGGAATGTTCTTGATCTTCTTTTCCTTCCTTTTGTAATTTTCCAACTTAAGCAACAATTTTTTTAGAATGATAATGTTTTTGATAATTTATGAGCTAATAATGTCTGGAATATCATAAAACTTAAAGTTTCACTGAAGAGATGTTTGAGATATAAAAATAAAATCACCCCTTGTATAATTATTTTGCTAATATAATAGTTAATTTTCAATTTTTTGTTTTTTGCCTTAATGATTGCAAGACATCTTTCAGGCATTGAATCTACTAAGTCTTTAAACCATTTTAAGTATAATTTTTTCTACACCTCAATGAGAATTAGAGGAGTTGGAAAAATTGTTTGCCTTTAATTGAAACAAACTGTATCATTATTGTCTTTAATTGAAACCTGATGGTTTTTGTTTAGTTACTTTGATTTTAAAAAATTTTTTAAATTTTTAACTTGATTTAGGTGATTGAGGAACCTGATCTAACATCTTAATAATGTTTTTTTTTTAACCACTAAATAACTAATTTTGAAGTATGTTTTGAATTTTTATCCTGTTAAAAAATGAAATTCAAGATAAGCTTATAGCGCTTAATTTCAGTATTTGTTTTTTAATATCTCTAAAAACCTCTTTTGTCATTATTCTTAGGATGAATTCAAGTTTGCGAACACTACTTCAAATAAAGGAATCTCAAATCATTTGTCCTATGATAAAAGGAAAAAATAAGTTTAAAGTATATGGAATATTGTAACATTTTAATAAAGTTTAATGGTACCTCCTCCATGTTCAATAGTTGAAGTCGTACATTTAGGATTTAAGTATTCACCATTTTTAACATTCAACATATTTTTGTTTAATCTGACCATAAAACGTTTTGCCATCAATTAAGAATCCATTGCAAATGATTCTTTGCCCAAGCCAATCTTTTTATTTGATTTTTTTTATTTTAAAAAAAAGCTTTTTTGGGACAATTCTACCTACAAAACCTTGATTTTTTGAACAATTGCGAAGAGTTTGTGAATTTACAGTTATACCATGATCTATTAAAAATTTTTTTGCTTGCTTTGGTGCAGCAAGTCTTTGATCTTGTTTAATTTACAGAGTACTTTCTTTATCAATGGGCATTGCAGTCTTTGATGAAAATCCTTTTCTTGACAAATTTTTAATAGTACTCTTTTTTTTTTTTTTACATTGTTTCCTTAACTATTAGGTTTAACATTTATAGTTTAAGTATTTTAGAATTAGTTTTATATTCTTTTACACCTTCACCCTGGTGAAATTGGAAAAAAATATAAAACTATTTCTTGTATTTAAAAATTGTTTCAATTTTTATATGAATTCCTGAATCAAATGTCTTTTTACTATGATTTTCTAATCAAAAGCTTTTTTTTTCACTAAAAGATTACTTTGATTAACTTCATTATTAAAGATCATTATTGTAAATAAGGAACAATACAGGGCCAAGAATAGAACCTTGCGTTATCCAAAGCTGGAAATGAAGAAAGTTGGTCTTTGAGGACAACTAATACCGCATAGAATAGAATGATTTGATAATCTCAAAAACTTTCCAAAATACATCATATAAAGTGACTTTATCAAAAAGACAAGCATGCTAAAAAGCCTTTGATATATCAAAAACAACTAGCCTTGCTGCCATTATATAATGCATAATAGATGCATTAAATGGTGGAATAGATAGATACATGATAGCCTTTCTGTTATAACATTTAAAGTCAGCTGTAGAACCAGAGAATTAAAATCTGTATTGAATGTCAAAAAGTAAGTTTATGAGAATCAAGATGAGATATTAGAAACTTGTTCAATAAGACTTAAAAAGTTTTGATGAATACTTTTGTAAGACTATGAGAGAAATGTTGTCTGGACTACAAGCGGTAGTGGTGTAGTGGTAGAGCGCTTGCATCATAAGCAAGAAGTTATTTCTCCACACAGCGGCCTTATTCATGAAAGTTTGTGTTTTGGAGTTATAGATTTAAAAGAGGGTTGTAACCACTTTTTAAGTAGCCCTCCCCCCCCCTCAACTGTAGTGGCCTTCATGGCCTTGGGGCGGTGAATTTAAGTACCTTTATTAATAGCACTATTCAAGATTTTCTGAAGTCCTAACTTATGAGATAAAATAGAAGATTTAGCAAGGTAGGAATATTGAAACTTAGTGTCAAACTACCTTTTTACATTAATTTCTTGCAACTCTCCTGCAATTTTTTGAAAGAGTTGTTTTTTCAAAAAGATTTTAAAAATTGATACATATTATTTTACTATATAATTTTATTTTAAATAATAGAATCTTATTAATACTTAGTTATTTATTTTCAGAAAAAGAACTAAACGAGATGCATCAAAAAATGGAAATCAAAATCCAACAATATGAAAACAAGAAAGGTATTAATATTTGAATTAAAAATATGTTTAAATGTAATTTTTTCATAAGTTTCTAACATGACAGTTTATCTTATATTAATTTTTCATGACTTAAAAAAACATTTCAAGAAAATTTTAAGTATAACTTTAAAAACTTTAATTTAAGTGTGTTATCTAATAGATAGTATAGTATAGAATAATAGTATGAATCATAAATAGATTTATTTTTCCATATATTAAACTTTTATTAGGATTCTCAAAAAGACAAAAAGAAGAAGCTATAACTGCTATCATCCATTTGTATCTTTTTTGTATAAATTGTACAGATTATTTTGCAGCTTATTTATTTTATTAATTTTTTTATCTTTGCATTTTAGGTGATATTAAGGGGTCATTTTCAAATTATGTTATAAAAAAAAAATATGACCCAGTATTTTCCTGAATAGAGTTAAAATGTTCTGCAATAAAAATAAATTTGTTTGTTCACATCTAGCACTTTTAATAAAAAAAACAATGTTTCATTCTTCTCTTCCTAAAATATTTCTATCCATTCATTCTATTGCTTCTCCATCTCCATCTCATCGAAAACCTCCATCGTTCTCTAAAATATTTCTATCCATTCATTCTATTGTTTCTCCATCTCCATCTCATCGAAAACCTCCATTGTTCTCTAAAATATTTCTATCCATTCATTCTATTGTTTCTCCATCTCATCGAAAACCTCCATCGTTCTCTAAAATATCAAGTACTCTTCTACAATTAAGTATTTTATTTTCTTCCGTTTGAATAATTTTCTTTACCTTAACTTTTGAGATTCAGACTTTTTTTTTCCTTTTTGAATGAATTATTTTGTAATTGTTAAGCAAAGTTAATGATGCAAAAAGTCGTAGTTGAGTTCAGCATTTAATGTTTGAACATTTTGAAATTTTGCAACCTGTATTAACTTGATCTTAAATGAAAAGCAATTTATTCTTGAATGTTTTTAGTTACTGTTTTGGTACAAGTTTCTGAATTTGTGTGTCAATAAATTCAAAGATTTCAAAGTTATCAATCACTATGTTGGAAAACACTTTATGCATGTTTATACTTTCATATACCTTACAAGTGATTATGTATTAACACTTGTAAGAGAATAAATTGTAGACTTTAAATCTTTTGCTGATCTTATTGAAATATGAATATAACCTGAGAAAATCACAAAGTGCTCAATTCATTTTTATTAACTTTTATCTCAGTATAGATTGATAAAGTAAGTTTATGGCATGAAGCAATAACAAAATTGTGATCAGGAAATCTTATTTTATGTTTTATATGCATGCTCAAGGGAGTCAGTAAATTAGCTGCTGGGAGACTTTGGTACTTTTGCTTTTGTTTTTGTCTATTTTTATTTTTGTTTTTTATCTATTTTGACATCACAAACTGCAATAGAAAAAAATTGAACTGACTGTTCTTGTTCACAATATGGCACTTTTATAAAAAAAATCAACAAAGTTTCATTCTTCTCATTCTAAAATATTTCTATCTAACCATTCTACTGTTTCGAAGATTCCATCGTCTTTTAAAAAAAGCAAGTACTTCATATTCTTCTTTTGAATAATTTACTTTTAATTAATTTTTCTTTTTTAGATAAATTATTTTTTGAATGTTAAGCAAAGTTAATAATAAAATATGTTGAAAAGTGAAAAACAAAATTTTGTTTCCTTTCGATTGAGATTTGTGAATTCTTGGGAAATTGCAATGTTTGCATTATTAGCAAATTATTTATCAAATTTTTTGAGTCTATTTATGAAACACTATTTAAAATAAAAAATTTGATAAGAAATTTTCTACTAATTTATTATCACTCTGTTCCTTTAAGAATATTAAGCACTCAATTTTGTAGAATACGTTTAAAGTTGTGTGTGTGTGTATATATATATATATATATATATATATATATATATATATATATATATATATATATATATATATATATATATATATATATATATATATTATGTATGTATATATATATATATATATATATATATATATATATATATATATATATATATATATAAGCATTCACACTAAATTCCTATGTGCAGACAATTATAGTGTTACGATCGTTAAAAACTGGCCAAAGGGAATTGTTGTGTAACAATTATTACATCATTTGAGCAGCAAAAAACAAAAGATTTTAAGAGTTAATTCTATTTCCTCATTCTATATACTTATATCTATCATCTATTTAAATATTGGACCAATTAAAAAATTTTTGATCCTAAAAATGGACAAAGAAAATATCAATTTATGTTGATGCACAACTAAAAGTGGTTTAGTTTTTTATTGTTTTCTCAAAATCAGTTTCCTCGGACTTAGCGCGTTTTGCAAATGGGCTCCTCATTTATTTATGTTTTTTTAATTAACTTTATTTTTCAAAAATTTCTTTTTTTGAAAAAAAAACCCTGTTAAAAAAGTTGTCTGCCTTTACCATTGATAATACATTTGTAAATTTAAGTAAATTTATTTAATCATAATTTTTAGGCTCTAAATATCATCGAACTAGATCAAATCAGCTGTGATCTAACAAATTTTCAAATACCCTGACTTGAAATAGAAACCATTATGCAGGGCAGCAAGAATGAAATAATAAACAAAAGGTTAATTTTTTTTGACATTACTTATTAGTAATATGTTTCATTATTAATCTGTGCTGTTTAACAAGTTTTCAAATAATTTTTGAAAGCTCTTATAACAACAAGTCTTTGTTGTGCGCAAGTGATATTTAACCATTAGCAAGTCTTTAGATTTTTACATTACCAACATAGAAACTCTCAGGGCGCTAAAATATTGCCTACCCATCAATCTGCTAAGTTAGGTATTTTTATGCTAAACTCAAACCTGTTGGATTTACAGAGGTGATTGTTAAAAATCAGTGATTTATATCACTGATATAAATCACTGTTTGTTAATAATCACCTGTGCAAATAAGTTAGCAGTAATTAAAAAACTACTTTTTAAACTCAAGAATTTAAAAAGTTGTTCTTTTTTATGTTTTTCTAATAGTTATTTAAAAGAGTTGTATATAAAATTTTAGAATGTTCTTACAATCAGTAGTGTAGTGACAGGTTCTGAAAGACCCCAAAGCTATTATAAGCCAAATGAAAATTAAAAAAAAAGTGTCATGTAAAAGATGACATAGGGGTCAACATTTAACATTTAGTGCTTTTGTTATTTAGCTAAAAAGTGCTCATGCTTTTATTATTTAGCTAAAAAATTATATTTTGTTAATAATACTTTTTATTAATTAATAATCTTGACCAATCAAATTTAAATTACTTTATTAATTTAGATCTAAACATTTTACATAAACTAATTAAATTTATAAAGCAATAAAGTTATAAACAATTATGTCTTTAATATTTTTTTAGTATAAGCACTTTTTGGCTATATTTGACATTGTGCAATAGTGTGGCAACTGTATAAAATATTTTCAGCACAATAAAAAGAATACAGCATTTAAATACAACGATAACTTATAAATGTATGTCTGCGCTAAACTTATTAGCTTATTATCAGTTGCTTGCAACCGGAAATACTTTTATTTTTCAAAACATTAATGTCATTGGTATAGATTTTCAATAGCCAATAATTTTTCAAGGGTTTTTTTCTAATGGTATTTGCAGTTGTTGTTTTTTTTCACGTTGCTGTTCATACTGCTCTATAAAGGAAGACTTATTATATTATACATAATATTATAAATAGTCCTTTACTCTTCAAAATACTCTTCAAAATCTTGATAAAAATATTTTTTTGGGTGCAGAATTCATATATATATTATATCTAAAATTGAATTAATTGATATTATATATTGTAAATGTTTGAAGCTCATAACTTAAACTTTATCATACCTAATAAATACTTTTGTAGGGTCTAATAAATAGTTTTATATAGGTCTAATAAATACTTAGATAAGGTCTATTAATTAGTTTTATATGGGTCTTATAAATACATATGTATTGGTCTAATAAAAACTTATGTTGGAGTCTAATAAAATAAATTTGAGTACTACGATTTTAGTTATAAAAATATTGAAGATAATAAAATGGCAAAAAAGAAAACACATGATAATTTAGTTGTGTTTTGAGTAGTAACATCTTTTATTTTGGTGGCGGAGGAGAGTTAAGAAGTTTAATATATTAACATATTTTGGTGGTGGAGGTGAGTTAAGAAGTTTAATATATCAACATATTTTGGTGGTGGAAGAGAATTAAGAAGTTTAATATATCAACATATTTTATATAGGCATATAATAATATTTAGTATAAATTGTATAATATTGCTGTAAGATAATTTATGTTGTTTGCATAAGTTTATTTTCCTTAGCTTTTAGATAGAGCTCAACTTAATAGGATAATAATGAGTTTAAATATTCAAATTCCTACAATGATAGATGAAAAAACTGCATTATGTTCAAAGATTAAAGACCTTGAAAATAAAAAAGAAGTTTACAAACCAAAAATCAAAGATATTAAGAATGAAGCTTTTCTGAAAGACAAAATACCTGATGAAAGTATAAGATTTTCATTACTTTACGGTATAAAAATAAGCTTGTTTTTAAACTTTTTGTTTTGTTTATAGAACCTATTTTACAACAACTAAATGTAGTAAACGATGGGATAAGAAATAGTCAATTTCCACATGATCAGTCAACTTTTTTGCCAAAACTGCCACAACAAGAACAAATAGTGAGAGCCAACATATTACAATCTTCAAGTTCATATATAGCAAGAATAGGAAACTCAAAAATAAGACTTCCTAATTTCATAGTTGCTCAACAATCTCAAATGACTAACCAAGATTCAAATCAAACTTCTAGTAATTATCCAAAAATGCCTCAATTACCCAAGTTTCCAAGTTTTCATAAGTATTCTATGAATAAATTATCTAGCTATAAGCCTGAAAAAAGGTATTTATACATTTATGTTATTCATTAAAATAGTTTTTAAAAAACTTTTCATTGTATCTTTTTTTTATAGTCAATTAGTAAAAGATATTCCCCCACCGGTAGAGCCAGAAAAAGAGGAGGCTTCATATCTCCCATCTTTGCAATTGCAAAATTGCTATATTCAGGATAAGGAGCGACCCATAGTCAAAGAAAGTATAACTCGTCTTCCAATTGGAAACTTTATAGCACCACTTGATCAAACTACAGATGAGTTTTTTGGTCTAGAACGCCGTAATAATGTTGAATGTATTTAGAAGTTACTTATTTTTTATAATCATTTTCATATTTTAGTTATAACATGTATTATATATATATATATATATATATATATATATATATATATATATATATATATATATATATATATATATATATATATATATATATATATATATATATACAGCGGAGAAATTAGAATAAGCCTCACCTTTATTTTTCGTTCTAATTTAACAAAAATGGCAGTTAAACAATTATTAAATCTGCTTTATTTCTTATTATCTTCTACTACAATTAAAAAATTTATAAACTGGCATGTTTAATTAATTAAAAATGAAAAAAAAATTTAAACGTATTCAATTTGTGGAGAAAACAGAATTAGCCTCATTTACGTAATATACGAGAAATTACAGAAAATATTTTGTTTTTATGCTTATTCAATATTTAGTATTGCTTTCAGATTTTTTAATGACTTCAATATGCGACTTGACATACTAGTCACAAGATTTTAGATTAGTTTCTATAGATATTTTATTACAAGCTTCTCTGCTACGAGTTTTCAACTCCATTGTGGATTCAAATTGCTTACCATTTTCATAAACCATACAAGAAAGTATTTCCCATAGATTTTAAATTGGGTTCAGATCTGGGCTGCATGCGGGTCATTCCGTTACGTGAATATATTTTTCTCTAAACCAACCTTTTTTAAAATTTGAATTATGGATAGCAGCATTGTCTTGTTAAAAAGTGAAATTTTCACTTATCAATTCTTTACCATGTTCAAGAAAACTTATTTCTAATAAGTCAATGTGAGAGAAATCTTACATGAAGTAGTCCTGCGAATTCATTTTTGTTTGATATCATAGAACACCCCCCCCCCCAATCATTACAGTTCCGCCACCAAAGTTACGAATCATTCAAGTTTCTTCCTTTTTTCAAAGATTATGCCAATAATACTAATAACCATCAGGACCATCTAGATAAAACTTTTTTTCATCACTAAAGAGAACTTGATGTCACTCTTCCTGCCAAGACATGTGTTCTTTTGCAAATTGTAATCTGTAATGTAATTGTAATCTAGTTTCTTTATGAAGAACAGTAAGTTTTGATTTTAGTTTACGCTTTTTCAAACTGTGTTTGGATCTTCATTTAAAATTTGTCTCACACGTTGAACAGTTACAAGTAATTGTAGATCAACACAAGTTCAAGATGCAGTCATGTAATGAGCAGCATTGCGTTTCACAATAGCTCATTTAGTACAATTATCAATTTTACGTTTGCCACCACTTCCCTATTAAGCTACATAGTTAATGCCCATCTTGAAGTTATTTTTAACCACTTTTGGAGATCTTTTAATTTTCTTTCTTTGCAATTTCCCGATTAGATAAGTCTGTATCATTGTATGTTTTGATTACAGCTATTTCTTCATTCGTTAAATGATTTCCATGCCCCATTTCAAATTCAGGTATCAAAAACCAAACGTTAAAAACTTTATGAGTAATTTAATTATGCTACATTATAATCTAAAAAGTTGTTGTTTGTAACAATAATTATATATGAATGAATACAAATTATGTACCGCACAAATTTGCTTACAGATTTACAAAATATTGGATTAAAACATACGGCTAATTCTATTTTCTCTACTATATATATGTGTGTGTGTGTGTGTGTGTGTGTGTGTGTGTGTGTGTGTGTGTGTGTGTGTGTGTTATTTTGGAAATATTTGTCAATCTGTTTTACAACATATTTAATCCTAATTTTTATGCATGTAAACGATTCATGCGTAGTATATGTATTAACTGCTTTTTTTAAAAAATTATTTTTTATTTAGGTGATGAAATCACTCAATCTCCTTCACCTTTGTCAAAATTTAGCTTTAGCCCTAATCAACATGCCGAAAATCTGAAGAAGCTAAAACAGTCGCCAGGAGATGCTTTTTTTCGAACTGGACGCCCTATGTTTAATCACAACAATCCACATCAGGTAAATCAAGTAAGATAATTAAGCACCGTTTTAATGTTTTTTGTATAAAACTACTGATATATAGGGTGGAATGCAAGAAGCGAGCTTAAGTCAAGCTCGATTTGAACTTTACATTGCAACCAATAGCGACAGAGTATGGGTTTTCCCCTCAAAAAATACTCTACCGCTATTCGTTACAAAGTAAAATTCAAGTCGAACTTGACTCAAGTTTGCTTCTTGCATTCCACCCATAGTTACAAATATAAATTTATTTAGAAGTGTACAGATGTAAATGAAGAATCTATAAAAAGTGAGCGTTTTTGTATTTATATTAATATTTTTAATGTACCTTTTTTAATTCATTTCATTAAGTTATTATTTTGTCATATTTATTTCGATTGTTTTGTTTTTTTGTTTTTCAATTATCTTTTAGAGCTAAAATCAAATCCCGCTTCGTCATTTAATTACAATGAGCTGCTATCAGAATCAGATTCAGTTGTTAATGTAGTTTCTAATGAATCTTTCCCATCTAGTAAGTCGGAAAATTTTAGTTTGAATAGGTTTAGTCTTGATAGTCCAGGCATACATTTCAATACATCTTCCGATCATGGTGCATTTACATTTTCGTCTGCAACTAATTTTACGCAGAATAATCAAACTTTTCCAGAACCTACATTCAGTTTCGGTGTACTTGAAAATACTAAAGATGCTAAATCGCCTGCATTTAGTTTTGCTGTAAATCAACAATCTTATGATCAAAATCCAGTTCAGTTTGGCAGCTTCCCCTCTGCTGAGTTAGGTTGTAACGTTTTTAACTTTGGAAATGAGTCAACAGAAAGTGCATCTGATTCTCCTTTTAATTTTAGCGTCGCTCTTAATGATGAGAAGGCACCACCAAAAGAAAGATTCGACTTTAAGTTTGGTGGAGTTTCTTCTCAAGTCAAAAGTTCAAGTTTTTCTTTTAACATTTAGTTTTTTAAATTATGATCATCTCTTAACGTTGAAATTTCTGAAATCAGGTTGTTATATAATCACATTTTAAATAAATTTCACGTTGCGTTGAATCGTTTGTATTTTATTGTGCGTTATTATGTAATATTAAATTGTTTTTATCTAATATTAAGATTTAACGTAATATAATGGATAATTATTATCTAATAATTATTTATTATCATCCTTAATTTAATTAAATTTAGTACAAACTTATGTAAATTTTTAGAAAATTTTATTTTATTTTGAGCGACTGTATGAAAAAAAATTCTATTCCTTTTTTTTTATTTAATTTATTATTAATTTTTTTTTTTTTTAATATTTTCAGAGAAATAAGAGTTCTGCGAAAAATATTTTTTTTTTAAATCACTTATACTTAAGACTATAAATAATTCATACATAAATCAAATGCTATTTAACTAGGGTTGTTAACCGGAGGATTTCGTGCAATTCCGGAAAAACAACACTCTTTCGTAAGGAGATTGAGAACACGGAATTACATTTTTTCGTACCGAATGTTACAAAACATTTAAAATCGCCGATGTTCATTTCGCAAAATTCACTTCCGAAATTTAGCATTTCGCAAGTTGACATACGAAACAAAACTATTTTGCAACATACGAAAGTACGGTTTCGGAAGTCGCACTTGCGAAACAAATATTGTCGCTAATCGACGTTTTGAAGTCTATAAAGAAATTTTGTTTGCCAGACTGATTTTAATTGTAAAAATTAACATCTTTAAATCCCAAAATGTTTATAATGAATTTTTATTTTCAGTATAATAACATATTAAATTTTTATAGTTTTATTTTAAAAAATGTTGATAAAAAATAAAGTTTCTTTCGAAACGAAAGTATTTCGGATCACAACATACGAAAGAATTCTTAACGGAAATAAACTTACGAAACGTACCATAATAAATATATATAACAATGTTTTTTGAATTCATTACGTATATTAAAAATAAGAATGATGGGTAGGAATATTCATGTTTGTTTTTTTTTAGCTCGAATATGCTTAAGCAAATAGTAAAAAGAGGCTCAAAAATATGCTTAAGCTTAAGGATATTTCTAATAAAATATACCTATTTCAATAATTTCTAAAAGTGTGCACGTTACTAAAGTTCTAGCAGATTTTAAGATATGTAGAGTCCTGTTTGAATACGCTTTTCAAAGTATAGATCTTAGAAAATATTGTTTTTTAATTTTAATAAGATATAAATTTAAGTATAAGATCGTATAGTTCAATCAGTTAGATACGTGATAATTCGCCGCAGAGATCCGGGTTCGCATCCCGCAGCCATTGTAACTTTTGTTCATCAAACTCTTTTTACTTAAGATAGCATTTTTTGACCTCTATGTTCTATATTACAGATCTTTCGTCACCTTCACAATAGTGACAACCTCTTTTCTGTTAGTTATTCTTTTAAGATTGAGTTCATTGTGCTTATTTCAACACGTTTCCCTTGCTTTACTAAGTTCTACTTAAATTATGATGAAATGTACGTAAAACAACTTTTTCAAATAATATAAATCATTTTGCTTTAAATCTTTTGCTTTTTGTACTAGACATCTGTCCTAAATACTTTGTAATAATTTCTAGCTAACTCTGAGTCTAATATAACCATTTCTGAATATAATTTCCCTGAGGCTCCTACAGCCTATTGTGTTCCATTAAAAGTAACTAGTTTTTGAGTCCAGATATTAATTATAAGCATCTAATTGTTCACATTACTATTCATTTTCCTGATATATAGAATCCTATTTGCATACGTATCTCTTTCTGTAAATTCTGTTTTATATAGTTTCTTGATTATATATTAAATAAATATTACTATTCACTTAGTTGAATGAACGTATAGCTCATTCAGTTAAGACATTTGGCCGCGTAGACCCAGGTTCACATCCCGCTGTTTCACATATATTTCTTCTCTTTTTACTCTTTCTGATATCATTTACCTTTTGAGAGATCTCTCGTTCTTTATAATAAAGTATTTAATTGTTTATCACACATCCTCTTTATACTTTTTAAAAAGAAAGGCATACTGTTTATCTGTTCATTGAGAGTCCAACTTAACGGGATTTTACTGTATATATATATATATGTATATATATATATATATATATATATATATATATATATATATATATATATATATATATATATATATATATATATATATATATATATATATATATATATATATATATATATATATATATATTAGGTATATTTGTATAAACATTTGAAGAATCATTTGACAACATTTTTTTATAATTTTATTATTTATTATTTAAACTGTTAACAGTTAGTATCTTAAATATATCGTAACATAAAATCTTTTGCGTCTTTTTCGTAACTACACATTCCGAAATGCTTTTTCCGTAAGGAACTATTTCGTAAGTATTCTTACGAAATGATTTGTTTCGCAAGTTTTCTTTCGCAATGCTTTATTACGGAATTTTATTTACTATTTATATTTTCGTATAGCGCGTTACGGAATGTGCATTTTTGCATGTGCAACTTCCGCAATAACAATTCTATTACGGTAGATAAAGATGCGAAATTTTCGCAAGTTTTGTTTTTCGGCGAACAACCTTATATTTAACACTTTTATATTTTGTTTTAAAGTAAATCCGTTAATTAATGATTAAAATATAATTTTATAATTGTCGATTGCTAGATAATTATTTATTGAAACTTGGTTTGAACTTGAAAAGGCAAGAACACTATCAATGTAGCAATCATATACAAATATGTATGTATGTATTTCATACATACATACATACATACATACATACATACATACATACATACATACATACATACATACATACATACATACATATATCGCATCGTGTATACATAATGACATGTATATATAAATAATATATCATGATATATAAATAATTATATATGCAACCCACGATGGAAAAATCAACAAATTAAATGAAACAGCACAGGAACGAGACTTACGTCTTAACATAAGTAATATTCTGAAATGGAAAGACCACATCACATCGATAACCAATAAAGCTTACTCAAAACTAGGTTCACTAAGTGGTCATTTAAATTCTGGTCAACTGACTCGTTTTTTAAACTTTATACAACTTATGTTAGACCTGAATTACAGTTTTGTGCACCAGTTAGGAATCCACATTTGAAATATGGAAAAAAAAAAATTGAAAGAGTTCAGCAAAGAGCTACAAAACTTGTGCCAGCTTTGCATAAAAAAGTTTATCGAGCTTCGAGTTAAAAAGCTTCGAAACCTAAAGAATTAGTGGGACCTCATCCAATATTTTAAAATAAAAACTAATTTAAACAAAGTAAACTGGTGTCATCCATTTTCAAAAACTTTTTCTTCAACTCTGAAAGATCCATCTTCAAATATTAGAAGAGAACCACACAAAGATAGTATCTTATTGGTACAATTTACCAAATAACTTAGTAACATCAAAAACAGTTAACGAATTCAAGAAAAGATATGATGTCTTACCGCGCAACAATTAATTAATTGCTACTATAGTAGGATTACTCTTCAAAAATTTCTGATGTCTATGCTGTAGAAATAAGTAAATAAATACATATATATGTGTATATATATATGTGTGTGTACATATATATATATATATATATATATATATATATATATATATGTACACACATATGTGTGTGTACATATATATATATATATATATATATATATATATATATATATATATATATATATATATATATATATATATATATATATATATATATATATATATATATATATATTATGTATTTAATATATACATTTATATTTATTTATTTAGCAAAAAAAAATTTTAACAAATATGTATGTATATATATATATATATATATATATATATATATATATATATATATATATATATATATATATATATATATACATACACACACACTTGTTTAATTTGTATTGACAAAATAAAGTACTAATAAATAAGAAATATTTGTGTATTTGTCTACCAAATATATAGTCATGTTCTTCAAGCTTGTATAACCAATTATTGTTACTCCAGAATAAAATAGTAATAATCATTGGCTATAAAAAGTTAAGTTTTTATCTCCACCAAATCAAGTAATATGTATGCACTGAAACCAATAAATATTTATCTATCATTTATCTGTATATCTATCAATCTATTTATCTATATATCTGCCTATGTATCTATACACACAAACACACACACATATTAATATATATATATATATATATATATATATATATATATATATATATATATATATATATATATATATATATATATATATACAGTGGTTTTCATAAATTTAGACGCACTCATATTTGAGAATAGAAAATTTTAGGTATTTTAACGATAAAACAATGACGAAAAAAGATTTCGGTTTAGTTTTTTTTCTATTTATCAGATAAATACATACAGAATACAAAATTTAAAAAAAGTTTACAAAAAAAATGAAATACTAAGTAATAATTAGGTACAACTACATGGTATTAAAAAAATCAGACAAAAAAAATTATTTAATAAATTTAGACGCACGATACATTAGAAGGCGTAATTTATGAACCAATCAATATTTTGTGTATTCGCCTTTTGCTTTAATACAACTAAGAACTCTTCTAGGCATAGACTCAACAAGATTTTTGCACATCGCTTCTGGGACCCCATACCAGGTCTCCTTAAGGAATTCCTTCAGATGACCAAGTGTGGAAATTTGAACCTTTGCTAATTCACGATCAATCCAAGCCCAAATGTTTTCAATCGGGTTCAAATCAGGTGAATATGGAGGCCACGTTATTGTCATAATATTATTATCGTTGAACCACTCCTTTGTATAGTATGCAGTATGTGCAGTAGCGCTATCTTGTTGAAGTTTCCATGGTTTATCATTGAGCATAAGCAGGTCAATTGATGGAATTAGGTTGTTTTCCAGTACTTCTACGTATATTCTGGAGTTGATTCTTCCGGTGTATGTTTGGCACATACCAACACCTTTGTAATTGAAGCATGACCAGGTTCCTATCGAGCCTCCTCCACTTTGTACAGTTGGTCTAATGTACCTGGCG